GGGGACGCCGGGGCCTGGCCCGCTCGCGGGCCCGGAGGTGGGCGCCCGGGGCGGCGCGCCTCGCTCCCTGCGGAGCCGGCGCTGCGTCCGTCGGGGTTGCCGCCGCACGTTTTCCGCAGAGCTCGCCCCCGCCGAGCCTCCCGCGGCCGGAGCGCGGCGCTGACGCGGCTCTCCCCATTTCGCAGAGCGGAGACACTGAGGCACAGACACCTGGCGGCGACCCGGCCGGCCTGCCCCAAGGTCACGTAGCGAGTCATCCGTGGCCCGCTGCCCGCGTCCCCAGAAATGCCAGCCTCCCGGGCGGCGGGCCTGGACGGGGAGGGGGGCGGCTCTGGCGGCGGCCTGCCCTGGATTAGGGGCCTGGCCCGGCTCGCGGTGGACGCGGCCCGTCGGGGGGGAGGTGACGGCAGGGCGAGAGGCCGGGCAGCGCCCGGCCGAGCGGTTGCGTCGTGGGGAGCAGGTGACCCTCGGGCTCCGGCGCCTGGGGCCTCCAGCCCCTGCCTCCGGAGGGCCCCCTGCCAAATTCTGGGTGTCCAGACGGATGGGGTCGGGGGAGCGAGCTCCTAGGGGTTTGGTGGCTGATGTTCCTCTTTAATGGGCCATTCTCAAAAATCGGTCCTAAAATCTCCCCGCAGACCTGCTCTTTGAGATGCGGTGGCTGTGCCTTGGGAGCAGGATTGCTGCATGAGGGTCAGTGCCTCTGAGCCTCAGTTTACTGGTGTGTACAGGAAGGGGTCGGGATAAACGCTTCCTAAAGAGCCTCCCGGTTCAATAAAACTCATCATCATCTCTTGGAAAAACAAAATACAGTGGAGATTTCAAAATGCCCACCTCTGGGTTGAGGTCTCCAGGGCCCTTGAATGGTATATAATTCTGAGTGAACCACACGGGGTCATACAAGAAACTGGCACGGCTTTCTTTTTCTCTCTTTTCTTTTCTTTTCTTTTCTTTTCTTTTCTTTTCTTTTCTTTATAAATTGATAGGAATGGTTCTGTATTATTCTGCTAAGATAAATGAAGCCTGGAGACCCCCATCCACTTGGGATACAGGAGGCAGGGAGAGTCGGTTAAATCCTGTGATAAAGGTCCAGAATCCTCTCTGCCCCCCCCACCCCCCATGGTTTGAGAATGCAAGCTTGTTCATCTTAGATATTATATTTACAGCTCCATCCCTCTCCTTGGCCATTTCTTTATGCTTAGGGTAAAATCAAGCCACAGGTTTATTGGTACTGACGACATTATAGCAAGGGGCTTTAATTTGGGGGTAGAGGAGGGGGTGTGCTCCTGTGGCCCCCTCATCCCTCAGCAGTCCTCCAAATCTGGAAATAGGAAGAGCCAGGCTAATAATAGAGAGCAAAGAAATGGTAGTTTCCTTGAGCTCTGATGAGACTGGTTGGGAAAGATATCTTAGCCTGCTGGCTCTCTGTACTGTACTGGATGGGGCTTTTTGTCATGGTTTTAGTTAAACCCCTGTATCACTCAGGGATACTAACTTGGCCCCTGGGGATTTTCCCTTCTTCCTAGTAGTTGTAGACAAATACCCTAATCCCCCTCCCAGCACAGGGCCCTGATGGGCTTATTGTGTTGCATTATGCTAGTCACTTGCCCTGTGTCTGAGGCTCCCGTCCCACAGGCCTGGCCTCTGTCTGCCTTCACCGGTGAGGAGCTGAGAGGTGGCTTACTTGTTGATGAGTCTTCAGGTCTAGGGGTCTGCAAAGCCCTTGAAAGCGTTTGCGGACTTTTGTGTGTAGGCCGGTGTGTGTTTTTCGGGGGGGGGGGGTGGAGAATCCCTAACTTTCATTAGGGTTTCAAAGGCGTCCCTGACCCCTGGCTTTCAGCGGCCCTGTCTTTATGGGCAGGGCCTTCCCTAACTAGAACCTACCCCCAGGTCTTTGGGAAGTCTCCATGCCTCTGGATGTTAGAGGTGGAGAGGATTCAGAACACTTACCGACCAGCTGCCCGGAGGCCCAGGTTCTGCGGCCAGCCTGCTGTGTGACCTTGGCCGAGTGAGTTGGCCTCTCCACGCCTCAGCGTCTTCATATGCTAAGTGTGGGGAATGGTTCTCAGAGTCCCTATTTCATAGGGTTTCCTGGGGATTAAATGAGATAACCCTTTAACATGCTTAACACTGTTCATGGCACACAGTAAGTGCTGAGTAATTGTTAGCTGTTATCTGACTAATAGGCTCTCACATCTGGCTAGCTGCAGAGCTCTCGGATCGTACTTACCTCGGAAAACATTCTGCCTGAACAGGCCTTACGTTTTCAGTTCTTGGCTTGAGAGTGTGGTGCTGTCTCAGTTAAGGCTCTCGTGAGTGAATGAATGAGCAAATAAAGGAAAGAGAGCAGGAGGAAACGTAAATAGGTTTAGGATCTGACAGGTGACCGAAGGAGCGTCATTTTTGTTTTTGTTGTGACCCAATCACGTATCCTGTTCATTCATCCAGCAGACATTTATTGAGCACGTACTACATGTCAGACTGGACACCAGGGATATACTCCTTTTCAAACAAAGAGAAGGGGCATTTCAGTTGTATTAAAGATCGCTTGTGTGTGGCACAGTGACAGGCCATTCAGATTCGCTGAAGGAAGATGATGAGGAAATGGACAAACATGTTATAGAAGGAATTCTGTTCAGCTCCAATAAAGCTATTGATTGTCTGGATAAGTAAATACAGAGCTGGTCATTCAGAAGACCTTGGCTTCACCTCCCCGGTGACACAAGAATTCTCTCAATGTGAATGTAGCAAGGTGGGGAACAGGAAGAGAGTTAATAAAGAAAGTCTCAAAAGGAATCGATCTTTCTTTTGGTTCTAGTCCCCACCAGCGTTGAGGCGAGTCACAGAACTGGCTGACTTCGGCTCTGTTTCCAGTCTGTCCAGGCCTTGGCTCCTCAGTTCCCATCTCACAAACCACAGGGAGGAACCCAGACCACCAGGAGTGCACCTGCCTCAGTGGACCATCTGCCCCGGGGACTTTGCCTCCCGTACAAGTGGCTGAATTGCCATATCCCTGGCCTGGCTGAGGGTCTCTCTTCTCTCTTTGCTTATAGCCTGGACTGCCCAGAAGCCCACTCAGCCTCTCCAGGAGGGGCTGGGTCCATGTAACATGTCTCAAAGTCAAACCTATACCATATAAGTCCTTTGAAAAATGCTATTGCTAAGTCAGTAAGCTTTTATCAAAGAGCCTGGGAAACAAGGTAATTGTGTGTCCTCACTACTAGAGTAAGTGAGGGAAAGCATGAAGAGGGCTGGGACTGCCTGATCATTCACATAAGAAGCAGTGGGGCCAGATGGCACGTTCATCTTCCAGGTAAGTCCTCGAACAGCACTGGCCCCACCGCTGTCTCCTCCCACCTTGCTGGGAGTCTTGGGGTAGTAACAGTGCCCGGCACTGATAAAACTCTGCTCTGTCGTTTTGCCAGGTTTTATTTCATTTTATGCTCAGTGCTCAAACTCAGCGAGGTGGTCTTTGTTTCACGTGTGAGGACACTGCTAACAGGTCGAGTAACCAGGCAGCGGTCCGTGTGGACAGGACCGAAAGCCAAGGCCAGCGTCCGTCTCATACGCTGCTGGTCATGGGTGATCCTGTGAGGCATCTGTTGTGAAGAAAGAGACGCCTCCATCGAAGCAGAAGGTGGCATGGCCGCCCTTTCTTGGTTGTTAGTTGTGCTTTTGTAACTGATCTCTGAATCAGCGCGAGGTTCTCAAGAAGAGAGTCGTGTCCGTGGAACAGATCTTGATTGCCAATAAACCAGAAACCCTTTTTTATGTGGGTGCCTAACTTTGGCGTTTATTTTGCCAGCTGGAGACTGTGGCCTTCAATCCTGCCCTTTCTTTCCTTGACCACAGGTCCAGCAGCTGGACATGGAGACCCAACGCTCCTCACCTCTGTCCTTCCCCAGTGTTCTGCAAGAAGAGACCCCACGTCAGGCCCCTGCTGGACCCCCCCGAGAAACTCTGTTCCAATCGCGTGTTCTTCCCCCGAAAGAAATTCCTTCTTCGTCTCCCCCCATTCCCCGACAAGCCTCCCTGCCCCAAACTCCCAAGCTAGAGACCTCTGGCCGAATGCCACACGTTCTCCAGAAGGGACCCTCACTCCTGTATCCTGTCGCTTCTGAGCAAGAGACTCGTCTCCAGGGTCGCCCGGCTTCTCAAGAAGAGACCCAGTATCCACCCCCAGCTGCTGCTGAACAAGAAATATCACTTCTGTCCCACTCCACCCCCCACCAAGAAGCCCTCCTCCACTCGCCTGAAGTTCCTGAGAAAGACCCCCTGACCCTGTCCCCCACAGTTCCCGAGACCGACATGGACCCCCTGCTTCAGAGCCCAGTTTCCCAAAAAGACACCCCCTTCCAGATCTCTTCGGCAGCCCAGAAGGACACACCGCTCCCGACAGCGGAGATCACCCGCTTGGCCGTGTGGGCTGCCGTCCAGGCCGTGGAGAGGAAACTGGAGGCCCAGGCCATGCGGCTCCTGACCCTGGAGGGGCGGACGGGGACGGCCGAGAAGAAGCTGGCGGACTGCGAGAAGACGGCCGTGGAGTTTGCAAACCATCTGGAGAGCAAGTGGGTCGTGCTGGGGACCCTGCTGCAGGAGTACGGGCTGCTGCAGAGGCGGCTGGAGAACATGGAGAACCTGCTGAAAAACCGAAATTTCTGGATCCTGCGGCTGCCACCAGGCAGCAACGGAGAAGTTCCCAAGGTAAGAGCTATCCCAACTGGGGCTTCCCAAGGAGCGATCTGAACTGGGACGTGTTCTAGGAATTTCATATAAAAGAAGGGAAAAGAGATGCTTAAGAAGGAAACAAATACTGGGGGTGTCTGGGTGGCTCAGTTGGTTAAGCGCCAGACTTCAGCTCAAGGCATGACCTCACGGTTTGTGGGTTCGAGCCCCGCATCAGGCTCTGTGCTGACAGCTAGAGCCTGGAGCCTGCTTCAGATTCTGTATCTCCCTCTCTCTCTCTGCCCCTTCTTGGCTCGCTCTCTCTCTCTCTCTCTCTCTCTCAAAAAATAAATAAACATTAAAAAAAATTAAAAAAAAAAAAGGAAACAAATACAATGATACCTAGTTGCCAACATTGCTGCACTAAACCCAAGATGGCCCAAATTCAGATGATTTGTCCCGTTAATAAAACCCTACGTGAATAGAAGAGAATGTCCGACGGCATCCTAGTGACCAGGGACCGTCGGTTTGGAAGGGTGTTCAATTCACAACAGGGGTGAACCCGTGGTTCACTGTTGAGGTGGATG